ATCCAAAAGTGCCCTCACAGACACGCCCTGAATGTCTCATATTAAAAATTATTCAAAAACATAATATTGGTCAGCTGCATAATATTCAATATTATAGGTATCCATGTCCATGTAGTATAGGCCACGTTCCTTGTTAAAATTTGCTGTGTATACCTGATAGCTTGTATCTGTCTTGAAGCAATGATAAAGAAATTATTCAAAAATACCTGAGAAATGAGCTTTTATATAATACATCTGAGAGCATATGGAGAGAAAAAGCATGCTTATGTTTATTTAAATAAGCTGGAGTATTTAAAGAAAGCACTATATAATTACGAAAATAATGTCATAATAAATACAAGCTATAACCACCAAAGTAAATGATGTTGAAAGCATCTAGCTATAGATGCAGTATTGCAACAATATTTAAATTTCTGGATGATGTTTCTCAGCTTGGAGAAAAGGTAAGGGTTTTGGTCTGGACTTGTAGCTTTCCTATAGGTCACTGTCTGCTACACATCAGTCATCCTGTCAGAAGGAAATTCTGGCATTAGTCTGCTACTCATCACCTTAGTACCAACTGTTTGCCGTAATTCATTTCTCAAACTCAAATGCATCCTGTCCTCCAGCCTTTCACTATCTCTTTGCCTCATCTTCCTTTGTGATTCTAGCATTTGATGCACAGTGCTGTTTTCCTGGCTTTGGTTTTGAGATAACCCTATTGATATGAGGACTCTCTCTGGTTAGACTGTCCTTGCCAGCCGTGGGCAAACAACCTCCCCAGAGATTTGACTGGCTCTGAACTTCTTGATAATAATAACAAAATCACTCAAGTTTGTTGGGCACCTACTCAGGGACAGGGGGAACTGTGAGCGTCTCCAGAGCTGACTATGTGGACATGTGACCTTGTAAGCGCACGGCCACGTTCAAGTAAACAGGTCGCACCCCTTGTACTTAAATGAACGCTGTGCTGTCGCCATCTTGAAACTGTTAGTAATTTTTAAACAAGGGCCCTGCATTTTCCTTTTGCCCTGGGCCCCACAAGTTATGTAGCCCATCCTAGGTGGCTCAGTTAGCAAAGGTTAGAAAGTTCTTATTATAGGATTTGGACTTGTGTTAGGTGATTTGGGGGAATGTTCAAGGAAACAAGGCTTAGCTCTGGACTGGATTTTGGAGGATGTGGGGGTGATTCTATAATTGAGGTGTATCTATGTATTAGTAAAGGTTCTTCAGAGAAGCAGAGCCAATACAATAGATAGATGATAGATAAACAGATAGATAGATAGATAGATAGATACATAGAAGCTAGACAGAAAGAAAAAAGATAGATAGATAGATATGAAAGGATGATATAGATGTTAACTAGGAAGATAGATAGATAGATAGATGCTTGGTAGATTGGCAAAGTTGATAGATGGGAGATAGAATGACATAACAGATAGACAGGTAGATAGATAGACAGACAGACAGATAGATAGATAGACAGATAGATAGATAGATAGATAGATAACTTTAAGGAATTGGCTCATGAAATTGTGGGGGCTGGCAAGCCTGAAATCACAGGAGAGGC